AGGAAGGAAGGAAGAAAGGGAGGGAGGGAGGGAGGGAGGGAGGGAGGAAGGAAGGAAGGAAGGAAGGAAGGAAGGAAGGAGGGAAGGAGGGAAGGAGGGAAGGAAGGAAGGAAGGAAGAAAGGAAGGAAGGAGGGAAGGAGGGAAGGAGGGAGGAAGGAAGGAAGGAAGAGAGGGAGGGAGGGAGGGAGGGAGGGAGGGAGGAAGGAAGGAAGGAAGGAAGGAAGGAAGGAGGGAAGGAGGGAAGGAAGGAAGAGAGGAAGGGAGGGAGGGAGGGAGGGAGGGAGGAAGGAAGGAAGGAAGGAAGGAAGGAAGGAAGGAGGGAAGGAAGGAAGAAAGTTGTTCCTTAAAGTGTCCAAGTAGGCACAGAATACACCGTATTGATAGCCAATTGAAGACCGTACTCAACATGTTTTTCTGAGTCATTCTGATAATTTTTTCCCCAAATTTGTTGCCTTTTGCTGCCTATAAATTTGTCCTGCCTGAAGCTCTAGAACCTTATTACCATAAATATGTTAATTTATATTAATCATTTACATATAATTCATTTATTCATATAAATAAAATTCCAATATAGAGAATTTTATTTATCTGTCTTGTTTTCACAGATGTTGTATTTTTGTTGGTGGCGTTGTTTGATCGTTCTGGCATTTTGGTCTTTCATTATGTTAGCTTCTTACACATCCACTTTTTACACAAATAAAAGGAAATAATTTGAGTTTCAACCTGTGTAACCCACAAGATGAAGGACATTTATTACTATCAAGAGAAAGGGCATTTCCATCACCTCAGATTCTACAAGACAAAAGATAGGATAGCTATGGTTTCCATATCATTCAATCCAAAATATTTACAACTTCCCCTGTGATTCCTTATTTGACCCATGGATAATTCTGGATGGTCAATGACAACAACAACAAAAGATGTTACATCTCATTCATATTTTCATTCACTACATCCTGAAACATATCACGTTACATAAAATATATTCTTAAAATTTATTTCACCCATTTCAGTTTACTTTTTGAATGATGGCTGCAGGGAGAATATTTAAAATTATACACGTAACTCAGAGTTTTGGCTCACTTTACATTTCTCTTGAAATAGTCCTGTAAGAGGCCATTTACTTTAATGCAATTATAAATATTATAAAAATATGTCTACCATCTTGTTATTTGTTTTCAACTTGTCATACATTTTATTCTTCAGATTGGACCTATTTTAGCATTTCATTTTAGCTCCATTATTGGCTTTTTGTGCCTCTTTGTTTATTGATTTAGTTGTTATTTAACGGTTTACAATATTTTAACTTATTACCGGCAAATAATTTAATGGTTTACAATATTTTAACTTATTACCGGCAAATTTCAAATAATTTGTACCACTTTATATATAATGGAAAAACCTCAAATTTCAAACATCCATATTCCCCTCTTTTTATTTGTACTATTTTTGTCTCACAGTTTCCTTGTACATGTATTATATAACAGAATATTTTATACTATTTTGCTTTACATGATAAATTATGATTTAAGGAATGAAAAGAGATAAAATTATTCTATATTTACCTGTATAATTACCATTTCTAACTGTCTTCATTCTTTGTGTAGATATGTTTCTATCTGGTTTTACTTCCCTTCAAGATAAACTACAAGAAATCCTAATGAAGGTGCATTGCCTGCTGAGCTCTGAATTTTCTCAGCTTTTATTCATCTAAAAATATTTTCATTTTTCCTTTAGTTTTGAAGTATAATTTACAGATCTATTCCTATTTTCTATTTCTTCTTTCATCAGTTTTGGTAGTTTGTGTTTTCTAGGAATTTGTCCGTTTCATCTATGTTACGTAACATCTGGCATATAATTGTTCATAGCATTATCTTATAATCCATTTCATTTAGATAAGTTTTCATGTCTGATTTTAGTAATTTGACTCCTGATTTTTCTTGGTCTGTCTAGGTAAAGATCTGTCAATTTTGTTGATCTTCTCAAAGAAACAACTCTTGGATTCATTAATTCTCTGTATTGATTTTTGATCTTCTCTGTCGTTTTTCTTTATGATTTCCTTCTGAAGGCTATTTTTACTAAATATTCAATTCTAGATAGATAGGCGTTTTTTTCCTTTGAAGACATGGTTTCATTCCTAAGATCGTGAGTAAGAAAGGTTTGAGATTTCACACACCATGTTGGAGAACTGCAAAGCTCTGAAAGGATATTGCTAATGAAGACGTACTGCTTAAACTCAACAATTACATACGCCGAAAGAAATAATTTTCTGAGGTTTATCCTAAGGTGCAATTCCTTGGCAACAACATCCCAGGGTATCCCACCACGAGACGCGGATAGCAGGGGACACGCAGAAGAGGCTCAGTAGATCTTAGACAATTAGGAGAAAGTCACGATTGATAGGGCAAAGCACCATCTGCTTCCTTAGCTGCAAGTGAGCTACAGAATTTTCGCGATTCCTGAATAGTTAGTTGTAAAAAGGATTTTTAAAATCAGAAACTTAATTTCGAGTCTATCCCTTAGATATTATCTTATAAAGCTCTATTTCAAATTGGCTGGTCAATAAAATCTATGGTGCTCTTTAAACATCTTTATTGTTATCATTTACAAAGGTTGAAATTCATCCGTTTTTGTTTGTTTGTTTGTTTGTTTGTTTTTGCGGTACGCAGGCCTCTTACTGCTGTGGCCTCTCCCGTTGAGGAGCACGGGCTCCGGACGCGCAGGCTCAGCGACCATGGCTCACGGGCCCAGCCGCTCCGCGGCATGTGGGATCTTCCCGAACCGGGGCACGAACCAGCGTCCCCCGCATCGGCAGGCGGACTCTCAACCACTGCGCCACCAGGGAAGCCCCATCCGTTTTAAGTGTATGTTTCAATGACTTTTAGCACACACAGGAACTGTGATAATTTAACTATTTAAAACGAATCCTTTATATAGCCATTATAAAGTTCTTTCCAAAAAAACTTGCCCAGATTTTTTCATCGGTAGGTCTCTACATAGGGCAGGCTTCCTAAAATGTTGCACAAATGTTGATATGCAACATAGAAAAGACAATTGCGTAGTCTTAGTATAAGGATAAGGATTAGTATAATAATTGGATATATTTTCTTCCAGGAGCAAATGAAAACGTAAAATAAATACAGTATAAAATAACCCGTGCTAGCAGACATTTATGGAATGCTTCTTTTAGGGGAGCATGGTCTCACGAGCTCAGAGGAGTGATTCTGTAATTACCCCCTCTCCGAAGGAGAGGACAGAGAAAGAGGAGACGTAGAGAGAGATATCAGGAGAGGAAAAAGGACAAAGGGGAGAAGGAAAGCGTGGCCTGAATGAGGGTCCTGAGGCCCTCAGGGTGACAAAGGCAGACTTACCAAATGGCGATGCTGAAACAAGAGGTTCTGGTGGTCGCTTGTCACCCACGGACCAGGAAGCTGCATTTGGTGGTCCCGAAGGTGCCTGGATCCTCTCCTGGGGAAAAGACCCCATGGGCATCCCATCTGGGGTGCCACAAATATGATACTGACCTGGGTCTTCAGTCTCTTAAATCCATAAAAACTGAGGAGGTCACGTAAGCATTTCAGGCAAGGCTTTACTGGGACTCGTGCTACAGCAGGAAGGAGTGAAAACAAGTAACAGGTGCCCCTGTATGCTCCCCGAGGTCGGCGGGCTGGTTCCTTAAACGGGGTGAGGGTGAGGACAGATTGGTGGATCGGGCCAGAGCAGTGGCTCAGGTGGACTGCCCACCCCACTGGGTGGTGCTGTGTGCAGGGCTCATGCACAGGACCCCGCTTCTGCTCCTGGCCCCTGAGAAGAGGCAGTTGGTTTGTAGCCCTTCTGTTATCTTATTATTCCTGATTTGCCCCAGCTGTGCATGCAAGCAGTTATTTTTAGTCCCCCTTAGTTTCTTTGTATCTGTTGCTTGCAGAGACGTTTGCCCAGGTGCAAGCACTGCAGCAAAGGCTCCCGGGGCCCAGTCCGTCTCACTTCGTGCTCATTTCCCCCATTTCATCCTCAAAGCAATCCTATGATGTAGGGATCCTACCTGCCCTCTCTACACCCCAGAAATAAAAGCTCTGGAAAGTCAGCTTCAGTGATTAATAGGCTCCTACCTAAAAACCTTAACACAATGAGTTCCTTGCTAATTCCAGGTTCATATAATTACACATTTGTGTAATGAGGACAAAAAAAAGAGCTATTTTCAAGTTGCTACGCTTTCATATTCAGAACGCTGAATTATTAGCATTTTAAGATCCATAATGAACATAATGTGTGCATCACTATTTCAGAACATAACGTTACGTTCTCTGAAAACTTAGTTTTCAGAGAAGGTAACATACAGGGATCACAATGCAACAAACTTTTATGAATTAAACACTGTGTCTCGTGTGTGTGATTTCTGCTTTCAAAATGTGTAACGCGTAGGGTTTGAACTTTTGCAAAAAACAACGTAATGATCGCTATCTATTGAATTAAAGTACGCCGTCTTGTGGCAAGCATGCGAGATGCCTCAGAAATACCCAAATAGAATAAACTAAGGCGAAGGAATGAAAAGAGCAATACAGAGTATATATTGCTGTTCTCCTTTGATTGACGTTAGGAAAAGTTGGTAACAGTGAATACTGTGTTTCACAGATACACGAAGGTATCATGCACTCCCCGAAGTGTATGAAGGCATCATTCTGCTGTATGCACTTCACAGAGGCCATGATTGCAAAAGTCTTTGGGGATACAGGTGGGAAAGGCACCCCATAATGTAGCCAAATGATTTAGCCAAATACCCTCAAAGTATTGTAATCCCCCTTCACTGCAAAGTGGAGCTGTTGATGGTACCTCTCGGATTGGGTGTCAATTATTCTACTAAAGAAAACTGTAACAATGACTTTGGATTCCTGGGTAACTAAGAGTAGAAAGAAAAGGGGAGACAGTGGACAGATTCTAATCACATTTTCATGAGCCTAAGGTCAATACTCACTGTTTGGTCGAAAAGAAAGCTACCCATTCTGAACGTGGCGCTGGCATCATTTCCTAGGAAAACTTGGGTATCCCGGGCAAGAAGCCGTGCCCTAGTATGCAACGGCCAAATACAAAGGATAAGGTACAATGCTCAGTTATCCCTGAATGCCCACCTCTCAGCCCCCCCTTGCTCTACAAGTATGGAGCACATGGCTTTGGAGCTGCAACTCTAGAAAAATCTGCTGTGGTTTGGGGACACACTGGGAAACGAAGTTGCAGACTTGGTTAAATGTACTGAACCTCAGATGTCTCACTGGCTTAAGCAGGAGGAATTGGTTTCGATTTCTAAACTATGATGTGTCATATGTGCAACTTTCAATTTTTGGTTGATTTCTGCTCAGAAATTACATAAACTCTGGAGGTCATTTCCCAGAGTTCAGCTTCACTGCTTTGCTTGGGTCAAAAGGGCGATCCTATATTCTGTACATACACAAGAGTCTCTTAGTTATAATATTCACGAGTACCTTTGTTTCCTCTTGTCCCAAAGAAGGCATATATCTAGAACAGTTCAAACGTTCATGGTGTGCGCATGCCCCTTAAAAGAGTTCATTACTAACACACTATATCAGAGTTCATTTTCATGGTTAATCTTAATACTTATCAACACATTATATGGATTTGTTAGTACTGAAGACCTGATTGTACGATAAAATTAAAACTCAATGACAGGACTTTAAGATGATCTTTTCTAAAACCGCACGATTAAAACATCTCATTTTAATAAATGCAGGATTTTCATAACCGCATTTGTAATAGGTACACATGTGGATATCAAACATTCAAACATAACTGAAAGATATTTTGAGCACAGGAAGGAACATTTTGGCTGATAATTTTTAAGATCTTTTTTTTTTCTGCAAAGGATTTAAAAACACCTAGTTCTAACCACACTTCTACGTTTAACACGCTAAAAAGCACACGGCGACCTTCAAAGAAGCTATTTGTAGTCGCATCCGATGTATAGCAGAGAGTACAAAATTAAAATGTGAGATGTGAAAATATTGAGTAATTTGTCTCCCATGGTCCATCACTCTGAGGCATCAGGCTTCCTCATCACAGTTCTAAATTAGTGTCTTTATGTAACCAAGTCTGCATAGGAGGAAGGAGTAATTTAGTAACATACAAGAAATTCATCACTTCTCTCAGATAGCTTAGATCCAGTTATTAATTACCTCTCCTTCGGGGCATCCATTAGCATCAGGGAAGTGTGGAAAAGGTAATGCAGAGAAAAACAGTGAAAAATCTCTACCTGATAGATCCCAAATCAAGGTGTTTACCTAGGAAGGTCAGATACAGGTTCTCGGACAAAACAGACGGAAATAAACCTTGGCTCTAATTGCTTCAGCCTCATGAGCTACGTCCATCCAGGACAAAAGACGCAAGACAGATTGCCCTAATGTCAAATCTAATGTAAATTCAGCTGAGTTCAGTAAGCCCCCAGGGGACATCCAGTCACAGTAAGGCAGTATATCTCACACTCTATCGTACGTATGAATCCCGGGGTATCTCCAAACGGAACAGATGGTGATTCACAGATCTTGGATGGTGGGGCATAAGAACTCCATAAATTCATATCCAGTGCCACATTCTACCCAGGACACAAAATACCCCATTTATCTTTTGGGAAAAAGAGAGGAAAAAAAAAAAACATGCACATGGGACTTCCCTGGTGGTCCAGCAGTTAAGACTTTGCGTTCCCAATATAGGGGGCCTGGGTTCAACCCCTGGTCGGGGAACTAGATCCCACATGCCGCGACTAAAAGATCCCACACGCAGCAATGAAGATCCTGCGTGCCTCAACTAAGAGCTGGGTACAGCCAAATAAATAAATAAATATTTTTAAAAAGCATGCACGTGTATTTACTGGGTCATCCTAGATGAGCTGTTTCCGTTTCCCAAATTAAGTGCCTCTGTTTGATACTTTCTCTTAGATTTTTTTGTGTGTGTTGTTTGCATTTGTGTCTGCACGGTGACATACGAAGTTGTGTGTGACTTCGGGGCTGTTTACCTTTATATCTAATACAGATCTGAGCAGCTGTTTTCCATTCACGTTATCCTATGTAATGACAGAGACTGGGTTTGTTATATGCATGGTTGGATGTGACCACTCCTCGACATGGGATGTTTTCCAATTTGGCGTTTCTCACTAAGATGGTCCTACAAACCTAAACTGGATCTTAATTCAAACAAACCAAGTATAGAAAAGTCATTTAGGGAGATCAGGGAAATTTGGATATGAACAAGTGTTAGATGACTTTCAGAAACTATTAAGTGCTGGATTAGTTTCCTAGAGAAGGCTGTATTAATTCGCATGCTCTGGGTGGCTGAAAAGGATGAAAATATATCCTCTCACAGTCTGGAGGCCAGAGGTCTGAAGTTAAGGTGGCAGCAGGATTGGTTCCCCCTAGGGATGCTGAAGGAGGATGGGCCCCGTGCCTCTCTCCTAGCTTCTGGTGGTTGCTGGTAATTCTTGGTCTCCTTGTCTTGCGGCTTCATCACTCCAATCTCTGCCTCTGTCTTCACACTTTCTGCTCTGTGTGTCTTTTTTTCTCCTCTTTTTCTGTCTCTTAAAAGGACACTTGTTATTGGGCTTAGGACCCACTTGTCAATCCAGGAACATCTCGTCTCGAGATACTTAACTTTATCACTTCTGCAAAGACCCTTTTCCCAAATAAGGTCACATTCATGACATGAGTTCCAGGTGGACACTATGGAAACAAGTCCAGATGTGATAGTGGCATCGTGTTTACTTATAACCTTCATATCTGTCAAAGATGAGTGTTAAAGGGGTGACAGGTAAGAGTGTGCTCTCTGGAACTGGGTATAACAGACTTTCTTTTGTTTTTGGCTGTGCCGTGACACATGTGGGACCCCAGTTCCCTGACCAGGGATCGAACCCATGCCCCTTGCAGTGGAAGTGTGGAGTCTCAACCACTGGACCTCCAGGGAAGTCCCCAAAACAGACTTTTAACAAAGACAAACGTATAAAGCAGAAGCAGGGGAATGAATAACAAAGGTTGGCAAATATTTATATTGGCACATCCATGGTAAATATTAATATGGGACATCCATGATAAGTCTGCAGGAATTCACTCTCTTCTTGGGCATGTGTTTGAGAGTTTCCATAATAAAAAAAAAAAGTTAGTATAAAAGTATTAAAGAGTAAGTCAGTTTTCCTGGGTCTCTCCTATGTATACATGTTGTTAAACTTTGTTAGATTTTCTCCTGTTCAAAAAGAGCTTTAAAGAAAAGAATGGCATTAACTGTTTTCAGGACCACCATGTCAAGATAAACCGAGGTAGGCGGAATGATTTGCTTTTATTCCTATGTGACAATATAATATTAAACACACACACACACACACAAACACACACACACACACACACACTCCAGTGGCATAATGAGGAGAGACCACTTAAGGGGAATGGGATGTCCCTTGGGGATGATGAAAATGC